TGGGAACAAACCAGTGGTTAGAATCGCTGTTTTGCCTCTTCTGTGTATGTATATGACCTTGGATGTGTTACTGACCTTCCATGTTTCAACATTTGCAAAAAAGGAAAGAAAAAAGGGTAATGCCTACCTTAATTTGTAAAAATCAACTTCCTATAAAGTGCCCAGAACAGAAACTAACATATAGGAGGTCTTCATTAAATGTCTTTTTCTTTCCTCAGCCTTTTCCCGCCCCAGTCTGTATTGCACATTCTATAAAAATTGTACCCCAAAATAATAACTCCAATCAAGTCACTTATCTGCTTAAAGATATCCACTGACCCTGTTGCCTCAGATAAAAATCTCAACACGGGATAGATCTTCCACAATCTGCTCCAAGCCATCTTTCTGACTTCAACTTAGAACAGGAAGTTAGGGAGCTCCTGTGTCACTCTGTTCATCTCTTCCTTTCCAGGACCTCAATACATGGCTGAACTCATGGCAGATCCTAATTAAAAGTTCGAGGGATGAATACATGCATGCATGGAGAGATGAACACATGAATGAATACATTTATCGGAAGACAAGATTTACATAATTCCCTTAACATTATGAACACTTACTAGATCTGAATTTGAAAGCTATATAAGCTTGTCATTCACTTCCAGGCATTATTCCTGTCTCCCCAGTTTTTTGCCTTATACCTAGAGAAAAGTTTTCCTGCTAGAAGCAGAGTATGAGAATACCGCTGCTTGTATGGCCCATAATACAGATGGAATTGTGCTAGGATGAGATGCTTCTTAATAGTATTCTACAAACATTTATTGAGCAGCTGTCAAGTGTCAAGCATGCTCTGATTCATCTGAGATCTCTTAAAGAATGCACATCGTATGGGAGAAGGGAGGTTAAAGAGTTAACTGGTAAAGGGGGCTGTGGTGTCACAGTTGTCAAGGTGGTCATGATGGAATTCAGAAAAGGCTTGACACAGGAAGAGGAGCTTCAGGTGAGTCTTGAAAGTTGAGTATCAGTTTAAGTAGGTCATTTAAACTAGGGTGGGGCAGAGAAGGAGTTTCCTTGTGGAAGGAAAAGCACGTCAAAGATACAGAAACAGGAGAGAACAGGCACAACTGGTTCATGATGGCCCTAGTTTGGAAAGTATTTTGTTAAGATACCTATTTAAATATACTTCTTCAAAAATAAAATATAAATGACCAAGTTGGAGAATTTGTTGACACAAAAATGAAAAAAGGATAGCAGAAAGCAAGAAATTCCCCCAGATAAGCTCGTTCATTGTCCCTCTACCCTCACTCCATAGTTCGTAGCCTTTAAATACACCCTACATGCTGATGACTCCTAAATTTACCTCTAGCACTGACTTTTCTCCCAAGCTCCAACTTGCCTGTTACACACCTCAAACTCAGTTTGTCTTCTAAACTGAACTCTTAAGCCTCATTGTCCCAAATCTGTAATTCCCAGCAGGATAAATGTTATCTCTATCCACCCAGTTGCTTATGCCAGAAACGTGAGTTATCCTATTTTCCTTTCCTCACCTCCATTTCCACCATTTCCAGTTGATTAATAAGCCCCGTTATTTCCACTATTTTAAATCAGTTCTCCATTATCTATCACTTGTTCACTACAACAGCATAACTAACGTTTTCTCATCTGCTACAATTCCCTCCAACTCATTCTCCACCATGTAAACAGAATGCTTTCAATATAGTGTTTCTGGAGCTGTGGCTTACTGATCACCGAGGTGCTTGGCTGAAAAAAAGGAAAATCACATATCTAGTTTTCAACTCAGGTAACTGATACAGAATCCTTGGGCAGTCTTCAGAGTTCAGGGGTCTGCACTTTAATAAGCCCTGCCTCTACCCTTTTTTCCCATTAAAATTGAAGCATTCCCAATATTTAAAGCAGAAAAATCTAGAGGTTAGGAGTGGATATCTTGAGCCAGAACGTCTGTGAATTCTGTGTGTCTTTGGACAAGTAACCTAACTTTCTATGCTTTCATCTCTTTACTGGCAAAATAAGGTTGATAGTGAACTAGCTCTTGGGTTGTCGGGTGGTTCAAATGAGTTAAAACATAAGTAGTAGCTTTTATTGTTTCTTGCTAATATTTCCGGTTCTCTTCTGTCTCCTAGCACATGGGAAGGTTGTACTTCTCCACTCCATTGAATGTGGTCATGTGATTTACCTAGGGCAAAGATCCATGAGTGAAAATCATGTGTGTCGCTTCTGAAGGCTGCCTGGGGCAATGAGTCTCCATGTTCTCTCTCCTCTCGCCTTGGTGATCAAGGGAGTGCATGTTGATATGGAAGTGTCCAAGGCAGAAGCAATGTAGGACACTGAGCCCAGATGTGGCAGACAGCTGCCCTGCTCTGTTGTGTGAGCAAGAAGCAAGTGTGTATTGTGCTAAGCTCCTGAGATGTTAGGCATTATTACGACTGGATAGCCTAGCCCAACCTGATACAACTTTAAAGCTCTTGGGATAGGCTTGGGATAACTTGGCCTATAACTGCACAGTGACACCTTCAGAACATAAATGCAGCAGTGTGGTTCCATGAAAGAGCAATTTTCCCTTTACTAACTTAAAACATACACTTGATCACGTCATTTGTTTGCAGCTCCTCAGTTACTTCCAATGAAATTAATAAAATAAAATGCAAATAACTTCACAGTCTCCCTTGCTTTGGTCTTCAGTCTCACCTTGTTCATCTTCCATTCACTCTCCTGCCAATCAGCCTGCTTGTCGTTCCCTGAACATGACGCCTACCTTGCTGACAAAGGGCCTCTGTACTTAACAAACCCTGGGCTTGAATCCATCTCCCACACCTTTTCTCTTTTTCTTTTTTGCTTTTTTAGACAGAGTCTCACTCTGTTGCCCAGGCTGGAGTGGAATGGCAAAATCTCGGCTCACTGCAACCTCCGTCTCCTGCGTTCAAGCAATTCTTCTGCCTCAGCCTCCTGAGTAGCTGGGACTACAGGTGTGTGCCACCACACCCAGCTAATTTTTGTATTTTTAGTAGAGACGGGGTTTCACCATGTTGGCCAGGCTGGTCTCGAACTCCTGACCTCATCATGTCTCAACTTAAATGTCAGCCCCTCAGAGAGGTGGATGCAGATGTTCCTTTATTCCTCCTTTCTTATTACTGTCTTAGGACCTTATCTGTGTCTTTCATATTCATCATGATTGATGATTAATTTGTCTACAGCCATTACCACCCTGAACACACTCATGTTATCTGATAACTAATTTTGCTTGTGTGTTCACACATTTCCTGTCTTTTTCTAGTAACAGAAAGGATGCCCCATGAGGACAGAGCCCGCATCTCTTTTGTTGATGGTTTGGTTTATCCCCAGAACGAAAACACTCCCTGGTTCACAGTAATATTTGATATGGAAGGATGGGGTGGGGCAGGAGAGGTAAAAAAGAAAGAGGAAGAAAGAGTTGTTCTAGAATTAAATTGGGGTCTTTCTGAATATAAAATACTATCCTAAAATGATTATTCTGAAAAGAAATAGAGAGTTTGTAACATGTGATGAGAATTCTAGAGATTAATGTATTTTTTATGAAATGATGCTTTATTACTTTTAGAAAACAGTATCAACTTATAAAATATAAATTAAGATATAAGTGTATTTCTGCCAAAGTAAGTCAATAAAAATGCACTTCAAAATCAGCTTTTATTACAGGCAATGCATTGTAAACTCGAAAATCCAGAATCTGAGTTACACTTTTTAACATTTCACTCAATATCAGTCTGATATGCTGGGTCCAAGTGATGACACATTCCAAACTAATGTAACTTTCTTGCAGCTTAAATAAACAAATTTAGATCACCAAGTAAAATCAAAGCCAAGTGTATTTGCACAACTCAAGAATGATGTGAATTAATTAGAATCTCTGGTAGTTTATACTTCACCATTTATAAGTGAACTTCGAGAGTCTTCTTAGTGACATGGTATTCAACTTTGTTTCCAATGGCCAAACGCTAAAATGTATAGAATATCTTTCTCTATACCCGCTATTAAATGTCATGGGCTAAGAAATCTGAGACAAAGAGAAAGAAGCGACTGATTACACACCCCAGTCATTTAGGGTGGAAGAGTTCTCTTAGGTGACTCTGGGTCAGGCTATCTTGATGGGCTGCAGACAAGTTTTTCTTCCCATAATTCCTGCTTTTTCAGGTGGAATCATATACCATAACTGAAAGGGAATGGCTGCTGGTTATCTGCTCATTGTCTTCTTTCAATCCCTGCAAAGACACCAAAAAATGATTTGCTTAGACCACCCCTCACCCCCAAAGTCACGCAAGTAGACTGCTTGAATCCTTCAGATGAAGTCTTCTTTCATTTTCAAAGAATATCAGGAGACTATGGGAAGGGCAGAAAGTCAGAGAACTTGGTGATCAGACAGACACCATCCTTCATGTTAGCCTTTTCCTGATCCAGAAAGAATCCAGCTTCTAGTTGTAAATGGTCCTATCCCTACTTTTTAAAGTTAGCTGTTACTAGGAAGATGTCACAGAGGAAAAGGAGCACACATTAAATTTATGGTTCTCTTTCGTTTCTATTTCAACTAGCACATAATAGAACTCAAATCTTTCTCAAATCCCTAGAGTTTTCCTTTGTGACCAGAAGACATAGTTTAAGGATTAGAGTCTGTTAGATTCCACCTCATTTCCACTCTGCCTTCTAGGGGTTTTCAGGCTTTCCTCAATATCAGAAGACAGGTGGACTCCTCCATCAACTGTTGGTAAACATTTAATGAATAATAAAATGTTGCTGATCTCTTAGTCCCAAGTCAACTGCTTCTTCTGTATTCTATTGCACTCAGAATGAATGAATGAATGAATGAATGAATGAATGAATGAGTGAGTGAATGAATGAGTAAATGAATGAATAAAAGTTTGAATGCTTACCTAAAGGATGACAACTGTTGTCTTTCTCGTGGACACTCAGTTGAGACTACAAAAGCTTAAGGTGATACTTAGAAATACAGGAAAAAGAATCCACATACATTGTTTTAAAGTTTTATTTGCTTACAAAAGAAAATGAAAATAGGTTTGCAAAAACTTATCTGCATGTACAGAGTAATCCCTGTAGATAAGGAGAGGCAACCCCTGGAACGCACTGCTGGATAAATTGATCATCAAAATTGTATCTCTTACATTAGAGCTGGTGGAAAGTCATTATTTCACGTGAGTTAAAACCACTGAGGAACTAAATCTATTTTTAAAACTACCAAATTCAGAAAGGTTACATCCAAATGCTTATTTTTGGATACCCATGAAACTGGTTGCCAAGTGATCTCAGAGTTGGACAGATCAATTAAACAAGAGGTAGTTTCTCCAATAATGTTCCTTTTTTTTTTTTTTTAATCAGCAAGGTTATTCCTACAGGGAGTAGGAGTATATGGTATCATCTCTGAACCTCTTTGAATTCTTTTCCTGCCAGGGCCATATTTCCTTCAAACACAATCATATCTGTTCATTTTAGGACTTGAGAGAGAAGATTCCAGAGTTCAATTTATTTTTCCTAATTCCTCTTTGAGCATTTTTCTCTAGAAAAACAAATTATCTGACATACCATTAAAACACCAAAAGGAAATTACTTCTACCAAGTCATAGATTAAGGGGACTTTTAAAAAATATATTTTTTTGTTAATAATAACAACAATAATATTAACATTATCCAAGGAGGAGATTTAGGCTGCTGAAGTGAGCCCCATCCCCCCAAAGTAGCATACAAACCACATAACAATATTTTCTCAAACAAGTTTCCTTAAGAGTTCTTGCAGTGGTCTTCAAATTTCCTCTGAGGCTATCAGACTCCAGGGCCCCACAGTTCCATAGCTTCCAGCTCATCTTGGACAGGGGTGAACTCAGGCTGATCTGGATGGGGAGCTAAAGAGGAAAAGTGGGGGTGGGGACTTGCTGGACCCCAGAATCATAAATTGATATTCTCCCCTCACCTGGGTCCTTAGAGACACAGAGATATCCTGCTGGGTAAAAAGCAGTGGGTATCTTAATCCACCACGCCCCTTGAACCTTCCCCACAAGGTTTCAGACAGTTAGTAAATGGACAAAGGGAAAGACATTACAGAAATTGTTAGAAAATTAGAATCATAGCCAACCATTTAAATATTATATGTTTTATTTACAGAAGAAACCCTGAAAACTCAGCAAAATTATAAAAGAAATAGAAATTTTAAAAAAAGATCTCATGTTAGAAGTCCATCACCAGGGGATAGCAGGGAGGGGAGGTCACCAGGGAAGGAAGGGAGAGTGGGGTGGTCAAGGAGAAAGATGCCCATCCATCCCTGTATGGGGAGAAGAAGGAGAAGGAGGCACAGTTAAGTAACTTCATTACGGAGCTGTCACACAGGGGAGTCTGGGATAAATTCTTGGCACACAATCATATACCTCTATCCAGCCTGACATGGAGCAGTCAGTGTCTATTGAAATAGACATATATGATTTGCTTATGGGTTCCAATGTTATCACGCCATCATGTTTGGAATGGAGTGGACAAGAGGTTTGAAAATGGGAAGGCAGCGATGCGGAAGAGGCAGGGAAGCAGGGTGTCCATTGTTAGGGGCAGGGGCTTGGTGGTGGTGGTCGACAGGACAGTTCTGTATCCAAAGTCAAATGCCAGGGCCAATGTAACCAGAGTGGAGGATTTCCACTTCAGTGCTGGTAATCATTGTAGGGGATCAGAACTTAATAAGGGATAGGGGTATTTGAGACAACAGGGAGGGAAAAGATGAACAGAGAAAAACACATCAGCAAAACGTTGTTAACCAATTCCTCTGATAACTAAGGTTAAATTTCTACCGAAGCAGAAAATTGTAGATCCATTAACTAACAAGTTCAGGGCCTCACAGCAGTCCCTCAGCCTCTCTCTTGTTGCTTCCAAGAGCGACTACATCAGAAAAGGGGCTATTGCACAGCACACCAGCATGCATGCTGCAGGTGATTTTAGGAAGCATACTCTTTCAGTCCAGTAGTTAGTGATAAGGCACAACTTTTGTTTCCACTCAGAACTATCCTTGGTCACCTAAAATGCAAGTGGTCTGCAGGATATCATTGAAAATAATCTAAGGAGCCCTCTTAATTACAGGAGAAGTTCTAAGTTTGACATTTCCCCAAACCAAGAGGAAAATTTTATGGGAGGTCTTGACCACATCACAGCAGTCACATAGAATGCGGACTCCAAAATAATGTTCAATCATGTCCTACAAATGTGCTAAATATGAAGTCAGAGGGCACGTATATCTAGGTCATCATTTGGAAGCAGGGAAGACTTAGATGTGCTGTTATTTTGAATTTGCTCTTAAGGTTTTTAAGGGAGTAGCCTCTATAGCAATTTGCACTTTATAGAAAATGCCTTGAGATAATTTACGGAAGTGAGGAGGTCAAGCCCTGCTTCCCATCCATAACCAATTTAACTTTTTTCTTAGCACTCTCTCGTCATTTTTATACTAAGCATAGTAAAACATTGATCAAAGCCCACAAGAGGAGCTTTTTTGTGACACTTACCTCCCACACCATAGGCAGAACATGAAGAGGGATCACAATATCCAGGCTGGCCAGAAGGACCTTGGGGTCCAGGAACCCCCAGATGACCGGGTGGGCCTCTTGGTCCAGGAGAGCCAGGGGGCCCAGGGCTGCCAGGCCGACTCTCCCCTGAAGGTCCTAAGAAGCACCCATAGATGAAAACAGTTGGTCTTTGGCCACAATTGGATAAGTTTTGAAACAACCAAGAAGAAAACTAGCTTTCACAGAAGCAACTCTTAGGACAATTAGGATAACCTCTTTCTCTCTTCTCAAGGAGTTCTTTTTCTTAGACAAGATTTCCTAGGCAGAGGATCACAGCGTAATCGCATATCCTCCTGAGGTCAATGCTTTTGGTCAATGCATTTAATCAGCTCAGGAAACTGGGAAACAAAATGTATTCTTTTCTATTACCTCTTGGATATTAAAGGAAAAGGAACATTCCATTCTCAACCTTATTTGCTTTTTGGAGCTTTTGTTTCCCAATGCAGTTCCTTATGAATCCAATCTATGAACGTGTACACACACAGATACAAACATGAACACACTCAAAGTTCAATGTCATCATCGAGTTAGAACAGCCGTGTAATTCAGTACTGGTGGATAACCCTAAATAATTAAATTTGTGTGAGTGTGAAATTGTCCTGCAGGAGACAAATGACAAGCTTGAAATTCAACCCAATATACTAATCCAAAATTTCTTTAACCTAGTGCACATTAATTGAGAACTCATATTGAGTAAAAATAAGAGAATTAAAATTTTTGTGACTCTAAGAAATTTGTCAATATGAGTTTTTTTCTGGCTTGTATGCTTGTTTGTTTTTAGGCCTGGTTCCAACAGTGTTGCAAAGGCATTCTTCCAAAGGAATTTCTCAACTAGAACTGAAATGAAAAGTGGGAACAAGTATCGCCTCCTATTTGAACAGCGTGGTGGCTCTCATATATTCAGCTTCTCAATCAACACTCACCAACCACCCATTCTGTGTAATGTGTAATGCTAGATCAGTTCCTCACACTATCTCTAATAACAGAAATATTTACACTGAAAATGAATCTATTGCATTAGGAACCTCTCTTAGAAAAAGTATGTTCCAAAATTTGTAATAGACTGGAAAGAAAAATATGTAAAGCACTTTACTCAATGCACTAAGACTGACATTATAAATATATATTATAATAAGATTGCATATTATTCTAATAATTCTAATATCGAATGTGTTCATCTGGAGACCATTCTAAAAGCACATAAAACGCAAACTCAAAACTTCCACAGAACTCATTCAGTAAGATTATCATGGCTGGAAATATCAGCGCTCACCAAATAGCCTTAAATTCCTCTAGTTTTTGTGTCTGCCTTGCAGTTCAGTTGGGGGTAGGTGATTAGTTCCAGACAATAAAATGTGAATGGAAATAAAATGACATCTCATTCTGTTTAGGAAGTTGAGACAATGTGCCTTTGTTCTTTGTTGTTGTTGTTGTTGTTGAGACAGGGTCTCCCTCTGTCACCCAGGCTGGAGTGCAGTGGTGCCCTCACAGCTCACTGTAGCCTCAATCTCCAGAGCTCGTGTGATCCTTCTCCTCAGCCTCTCGTGTAGCTGGGACGACAGGCGCATGCCACCATGCCTGGTTAAGTTTTGTATTTTTTTGTAGAAATGGGGTTTTGTTATGTTGCCCAGGCTGGTCTCAAACTCTTGGCCTCGAGTGATCCTCTTGCCTCAGCCTCCCAAATTGCTGGGATTACAGGAGCGAGCCACCATACCCAGACTGATGTGCCTTCTTTATTTTTCTCTTGGAGGCTGTATGATTCACCATGGTCATGGGTTCTGAGATGGAAGAGAGCTACCTTATTCATATGAAACGATGTGTGAGTGTGGAATAAAGCTTTATTGTGTAAACCCACTAAGAATCTGGGACTTATTTGTTACTATACCACAGAATATCCTATCCTAACTCACGCAAATAATCAGATCTCAGAATATGCTCTAACTTTTTGGTCCTGTGTATTGAGAGGATCATTACTAACCAAGAAGGCTCCCAATGAAACAAATAAGAAATACAGCCATTTCAGTTACATACGAGGATGTAAGATGACAATTTTCCTCACCTGCAATGCCAAGTGAATATAAAAATGTACAGTTGCAGTTTCTTGTTAGAAAGGAAGATTTACCTGCTGGTCCAGGGGGACCTCTTGGACCTTGGGTTCCAATGCCTGGATTTCCTTTTTCTCCCTTGATACCAGTTAGACCTGTTTAAAATAAAATAAAAGAAATGTTTAAAGTTCTTTTTAAAATAAAATCTTGGGCGGGGGCAGTGGCTTACCTCTGTAATCCCAGCACTTTGGGAGGCCAAGGCGGGTGGATCACAAGGTCAGGAGCTAGAGACCAGCCTGGCCAATATGGTGAAACCCCATCTCTACTAAAAACACAAAAATTAACTGGACACGGTGGTGCGTGCTTGTTGTCTCAGCAGTATTTGGGAGGCTGAGGCAGAAGAATCGCTTAAGTCCAGGAGGCGGAGGTTGCAGTGAGCTGAGATCACGCCACTGCACTTCAGCCTGGTGACAGAGTGAGACTCCAACTCAAAAAAAATAAAAAAATAAATAATAAAAATAAAATTAAATCTTTGTAGTTCAATATTTCTGGGGTTCAAAGGCGCTTCTCTGATGAAGACAATTAAGTGGGTTGGTTTGGGGTTATGAGTACCACAGGACTTTTAAATTAAATTCTGACACTGGTAGCATACGCAGAATCACATGTTGAAGTCCGGTTCTGTATTTGAGTGTGTGGCCTGTGATTACCATTCTGCAAGTCTATTGTTCTCCTTCCTACTGAAGTCCTACAGCCTGCCAAGAACTGGCCCTGTCTCTGCACACACCAGGCCATTCGACTTATGCAGTTGGCATTCTACAAGTAACACAATAGAAATCACAAGTGAACACGTCTAACATTTTCCTTTTGGTCCACCCTGTAATATATCTGCAAACGGCATGAAATATAATTAGGCAGCAACATTCTGAAGAGCATGAGTTTCCATTAAAACTTGGAAGCTTCGGAAAAGCCTGTGTTTGATTTGGCTGATTCAGCTCTATAAAAATCTAAATCTATTCATGTTTCTTTTCCACAGAGCAGACCTCTTATAATTTACAGTACTATTAACAAGCTATACATTTTCACAGGCAAACAACAAAGAAACCTATACGCTGACACCTCATCATCTAAACAGGTCCTATCACAAGATCACTTGAAAGGTGAGAGCACTTATATTGAGGCCCAAGATAGGGTTGCATTAAACTGGGTTCTGGGTTACCCTGGCTTGTATCATAGAAGATATTTGCTGCCTGTTTTTCATGTACAACAATGCTTTGAAATAGCAGCCTGCAGAACAGCATTTCTGTTTAATTATACCTACTGAGAAATTACGTTGAATTGGCAAAGCCTAGAAAGAAATATAAGTAAATGAAAAATGGCCAACTTAACAGGTAGCAGGCATGGAAGGGCTTTACGATATTTTTAAATTACAAATAACTATTTGTTTACTCCAAATATAATGCATATTCATGATCAATAAATTAGAAGATGCAACAAACAAGATGCTGGCACTTAAAAATAATTACTTTTAATATCTCAGTTTGTAACTTCCAGAAAGAAGTGTTGACGTAGTATTTGTTCTTGAAATTATTGGTAAAGAAGACTCCGGTGAGGAACAGGTTTTAGTTTTTTGTTTTTACACCGCACATATAATGACTGTTCCTAACCTGCAGCTTTGGTATTTTCTGTGCTCCCAGTAACAATCTCTTGTAGTCAAGACATAGACTGGCATCTCTTTTAAAAAGCTCTTCTTATTTACTAGGAGTCATCCAGGTTGGTCCACTCATTGCTAGAATTCCCAAACACCCAATCCTATTGTATGTCACTTTGATGGTGTTATCTGAGCTCACACAAGACCAGCACTTCCATGACAGCTCAGGGCACAAACCACCATGCCTGTGACTTTCTGTTCAGGATCTGGTTCTTCTCTTAAGAGCCCATAACATTTCTCAAAAGTAATAATCTCATCTGAGTTTTAAAAGCACACAGCTAACTCTGACTCAGCAATTTGTAATGCCCAATTGCTAATCGAGTTGTTCAGACGGAAACCCAAGCCATGGAAGCCTGCTGGGTATTAGCTTAGTAGCTAATCGGAGTTTGTAGTTTTTAGTTGAGAGCTGCTATTTCACTAGTCAGTGCTTGTGTCCCAGTGTGCATCTGAGAATGTAGCCGAGAATCCTTCTTCTTCTGCTTGGACTGGAGTCACATTTCTCATGGGGAATAACTAATTCTGAAAGAACTAGAACATAATAAAATATACTGATGACTAACACCAGGCTGCTCCTGATTAAGAGTGTGGTGACTCAGTGGCCTCTCCCGACCTCATGGTGCAGGATCATCTTGAACAGGATGGCTCCTAGTGCTTAATTCTTCACAAGAAGACATAGATCAGACAGAAGAGGATATCTGGGAAAGCATTCTTAGGAATAATCCCCAAATGATAGTTTTCTGACTTGTTTTTTTGCTTATTCATAAAGAGAGCTAGAGGTGGAGAAGATTGGGAACAGAAAATCTGGTTAATTTTCTCATACAGAGAAAAATAAACGGAATCATATTATCTGTAACATATGTCGAAGTAAGAAGAGAGAAAGACTCATAAAAATATTCAAAAAATAAATAAATAAATTCCAGCCCTGAAATGCCTTAGAAAAGAAAAAGGGAAATGTCTAAACATACAATTATATATTAACAAGGAATTTAAGACGTTATTCTTTTATTTATTTATTTTTTATTATTATTTTTGTCAGAGTCTCACTTTGTCACCCAGGCTGGAGTATAATGGTGTGATCTCAGCTCACTACAACCTCTGCCTCCTGGGTTCAAGCTAGTCTCCTGCCTCAGCCTCCCGAGTATCAGGGATTACAGGTGTGCACCACTATGCTTGGCTAATCGTTGTTTGTATTTTTAGTAGAGATGGGGTTTCACCATTTTGGCCTGGCTGGTCTCAAACTCCTGACCTCAAGTGATCTGTCCTCCTTGGCCTTCCAAAGTGCTGGGATTACAGTCATGAGCCACCACGCCTGGATGATTTTATTATTCTCCAAGTTATTATACTACAAACTACATTTAGGTGAATACATTACTGTTTGTCCATGTGTTCACTTATGGCTCTCCTACTGAAGGAATGTTCATGTCCATGACAAATGAACTTGGTTGTAGACCATTTTTTGGAGTGAAGCAATCTTGTTAAAAATTAGTATTTAAGTACCTTAGATGAGGATTGAGATCAAAGGCTAAGTGTAGAGACTTCAGGTCTCTAAAAACAGATCTGGATATATTTTCGATCAGCCCTGTAGAAACTAATTAAAAGGCGGGAAATCAAATATCCTGTGACTGTCCATGAGATGCTGAGGGCAGTGGATCCTGGGCATAAAGTCATTTTTTACAGACAAAACCCAGTCATGGCCCATGATAGATCTCCTTTGCACAGACCCAAGGTGGGGCCACTTGGTGCTGAGATGGGGTCACCAGTGCTAAATGCCAGTGTCCTTTCTACAAAAGCATTGAGACAGGAGACTCATGGGATTCCCAAATGCTAATTCCCTTCTTTTGAAATGCCCTTTACCTTGTCTGCCTCCATAACTTCTCCTCATTCTTTAAGGCCCAACTCAAAACTCCCCTATAACCATAGTAGGCAGAATCATGATAAACTCAAGAGGGCAAGGGATATATATGTTATTCCATGGCTATATCCTCAATGTTTTATATGATGCCTTCCACATAATATATAACTCACAAATATTTGTTGCAAGAACAAATGAAAGAATAAATGACTAAATGAGTGAATGAATTCTTTGCTTTCTTAGTAACTGCACCTCCTTTATTACTGAGTACTCCATAGGATTACGTAGTCTCATGTCCACATGGCCTGAGACATGGTTTTGGGGGCCAAAACCATTAGCCTCTTGATGGCTGGGGCTATGCCTTATTTATCTCTCTAGCATCAGCCCATGGAGAGTCTCACTGTTAGGTGGCCCAGTAAAGACTGGAAGACTAATGAATGAATTCAATGCCTAGACCAGTACTCAGCTGTCCATTATTATTTTTTTTTAATTTATTTTTAGTTCCGGGCTACATGTACAGAATGTGCAGGTTTGCTACACATGTAAACGTGTGCCATAGTGGTTTGCTGCACCTATCAACCCACCACCTAGGTATTAAGCCCTGCATGCATTAGCTATTGGTCCTGATGCTCTTTCTCCCTTTGCCATTCCTCCCTACAAGTCCCAGTGTGTGTTGTTCCCTTCCCTGTGTCCATGTGTTCTCATTGCTCTCATTTATTAATGAGAATATGTGGTGTTTGGTTTTCTGTTCCTGTGTTAGTTTGCTGAGGATGATGACTTCCAGCTTCATCCATGTCCCTGCAAAAGACATGATCTGATTCCTTTTTATGGTTGCATAGTGTTCCATGGTGTATATGTACATTTACTTATCTAGTCAATCATTGATGAGCATTTGGGTTGGTTCCATGTCTTTGCTATTGTGAATACTTCAGCTGTCTGTTATAAGCAAACATGCCTTTGAAAGATCAACAGACAAAATTCCTCAGGCTGGAGTTTCACTTTTACACTCCTAGTAAACATTGCTTTTTCTAACAAGTTCCTTGTGTGGTGGTGATATCAACTAGTAGAGCCTTTTAGAGATGAATATAATTGGCTCCAATTAAGCTTGAGGTACTGCAATTTTTAAAATGAGCACAGCTAATATAAATTAAGATCTAACTTAGCAAAAAATATGATTTAGCCAAGATTAAAATACCTTAGTTTTCTGTAGAGTAACCAAAATAATATTTAGGATCATCAGAAAGAGGTCTCCTCCCTCCATCTCCTCCCTCTCCTTCTCTCTCTCTTTTTCTAATAGACTATCTTTTAGAGCAGTTTTGGGTTCATAGTAAAACTGAGTGAAAGATGCAGAGATTTATCATATACACCCTGCTCCCACAGATGCATAGCCTCGTCCATTCTACAACGTCCTCCATCAGAGTGGTACATCTATCATATTCATTCATTCTTCAGAGTCTCATTAGAAACCATTTCAGGTTACCTGATTCTCCCTCACCACTAACCTCATACTGACTCGCCAATATTTTCATTTTCTGGCCCACGAAATCAGGGACTTGTTTGTTTTAGATCTTCATCCTATTCCCAGTGCTGGTCAC